TGCAAAGATTATATACCAAGTTCATGATTTTCTTTTCTCATGGTTTGCACTTTAATATAAAAAATTGTTTTATTTATAATATAGAGGAATAACCGGGAAATCCTGAACACCGATCTATGTATGTGAATACCGTGAACACTAATCTACGTCGTCGTCGTATGCTGGTGCAGTCTTCTCTCTAACTCGTAATATTGTTTGGAGTAGTCGTATTGCTTGTGTTGTTTAACTGGTTTCGTCGTTTGAAGTCTTCGTACGCTGGTGTCATCTTCTGGTTCTGTCTTTGTTGGACGTATGTTGTGACGTATTTTCGTTTTTTTTTTTGGTGTTGTCTGTTGTTTGTGGCATTTCGTTTTTTTACTGTTAAGCCGGCCCAATTTAATTCGGTGGGTTTACATTACATTTCTTTTTTAAAAAGGGAGAGCGGTGAAAAAAAAAGAATAATGTATATATATCAAATTTTATTAAATTTTTGTTTTCAACCGGAAAATATCGGTCTGAGGCTAGAGAATAAGTAGGTTTAACTGTTAGGTTAGTGGATAGAACATGTGGTTAAATTAAAGAATAGAAATTCTGTAAAAACTGTTATGTTTATGCCATCTTTCATACCGTAGTTTATCGTTAGTAAGTCATTTTGCTTTTATTTTTATTGCTCATTTTTGATGTCGCCATATACTAATTTTGCTGTTGATCATCTTTGGTGCTATCGTTCAGCATCATCGGATATTGGTATTGTTATTTATTGTTGTTTTGTTGGTTCGTGTCGTGGTTTATCGATGGTAAGGTGTTTTGTTTTGTTTATTTGATTTCCGTATGCAGATTTGCAGATTTTGTTTGCTGAACTTCATTTGTCGGTTTCGTCGTTGCTGTTCCATATTGTAGTCGTAGCTTTTGCTTCAGTTACTGTAGTTGTCCGTCGGATTTTTTTTTTTTTTTTTTGTTTTTTTGATTAATATAGCAGAGTTATGCAATTAGTAGTGTAATGGCTGTGGTTTCTTGATAACGATAGGTTTAGGGTAAGATTTACTGTATTTTCACGAAATAACAGTCCTGGTTTTATTTTGGGAAACACAATTTTCCGATAATAATGAATTAATTTGGTCGAAATTGCGTGCCTCAAGATAACGTCCCAGTGCGTTGTTTCGTGATCATATGGTGAGTTTGTTATTTGTAAATTGTATTTTTTTTTTAAGAAGTTCTTTTCTAAATAAATTTTTACAAACTTGATTGTGTAATTTTATTGAGTAGTATGCCTCCCGGTAACAATTAGAACACCCAAGAATTGTTATATCTCTAATAAATGTAATAGTATTAACTAATACTGTAGTAAAATACAATTACAAATTTTAACCGTAAACAAAGTGATGAACTATATACTAGCTATTTATTAATTTTAAATAATGTTTAAAGGATTAAAATTGTATTTGAAGAGATTGTTTTTTGAATACATTAATTACGTTTTTACTATGAAAATCATTATGAAATTTGTACAAATTTTGTTACAACTAATATTATTACAACTAATGTTTAAAGTTAAAAGGCTATTGGTACAACGGGCATTTGCTAATGCTCTTACACCTTTATAATCAAGCTAATTACCGCAAAGATTTTACACCTTTATAATCAAACAAAGGTCTAAGTACGCTAAGCTATTGTTCACTTTAAGAGAAATTGCTAATTCTTCACTTCTTCACAGCCAAGTTAAAGATTTAACTAAGTTAAAGATCTATTTTCATAAAAAAAAATATCTTTACAAGTATTCCAGCTCATTGATCAAACTGGTTCATTAAAGGCATAATGCAGCAATTTTTTGTTTGCATAAAATGCATCTATTATCGCTTTTCCTTTAAATCCAAGCTAATTATTTATAAATTCCTTCCGCTAATACTTTTCCCTTCGACACAAATATTGATTTTATACAGTTTAGAAAAATTTTTCTAGTGCTTTTCTTCCTTTAGCGCCAATGCGATCGTTATTGGTGTACGAGCTGATTAGGGTATTATTTCAATTGTAACCTTCCAAGTCAGTCGTGGGTCTTCAATTTCTGTAGTTTGGTTTGAACTCGACAGGTTTCTTGGATTAGAAATAATAATAATAATAATGTTTGTTATTCAGAAACTTAAATCTTTAATCCCGTTATTTCTTCGTAAAAACAGTATATTTGACTGTTTGAACTGCGTATTCGAACCTTACCGGTAATAATGTTCATGTTTTATACAATGTAAGCCAATCTACGACTCCATAACTCGAATAAATGTTTATACAATCGAATGAGAGAAAACAATAAAATGAAAAAAATACAGTTTAAATGTATTTTTTTTACAATTTAGTGTAACAATAACAATGACGATAAGCTATGAATCCTGTTCTAAATATAGGGTGTCCAGGATTATGCGAAAGCATAAGATGCGCATAATTTACATCTTGGATGCTTCGCATCCGTGTCACGTGTGTGGATTGTGATTGGTAGGTAAGTGATTTTCAATTCCGAAAAATCACGCGAGTTACTAGAATCGCATAATCGAAGAGATTTTATATATAAAATCGCATAATTCGCATCCATCGTTATCGCATCGCATAATTCTGGACACCCTATAATAATAATATGATTTAATCACATGATTAACCCAAAAAAAACAAATAATACGATTTCAAATCATTTATTATTAACGAAGCTTTAATTTCAATTATTCGAATTACCACTTTAGCACGTTTTGACATCTACGATAACCCGGCAATTAACTTCTATAAGATTAATTAATACACAAAATATAGTATAAACATTAAATAAAACAATCAAAATTTGTATCGTTTAGTAGTGAAACGTTATGTTTCAAAAAAGTACTTTAAAGTGTGTAAATTACCTGAACGACTGATTCAAACAAGTCAATTATTGCTCTTTACAAAAAAATGTGGTCTCTATAGATCACGATTCAGGTGGGAATCGGAGATTCTATGGATTTTAAAAATTTCATAAATATAAACGTAACCGATCGAAAATATGAAACAACGTACAATCTAAAAATCTTTGTTCAATACAAAAATCATGTGGCCACATCTTTTTGCAAAGCGTTATAGATGAATGTCCAACCGTATGTATTTAGAATTAGATAAACCTATTTTGAGATTGCTGTATTTAAGCAAAGTGTTATTGAATATAAACACAAACAATGCTGAAACTACCCTCGTATTGTTTTAAGATATTTGCCATACACCGCAAACGATCTTGTGTTTTTACTTGGTTTACCCTCTGAAATTGTCGTTTGTATGAATTTTTATCATAAAAAAAGAATCTTGGACTTTGAAACTAAGACCTTGTTGAATATAAATACAAAATATAAAGTTTAAAATTATAATATATAAAGGTTGTGTACTTTTACGAAGCCCTAAATTTCAATAGTGTATTAAATTACTTAATCAGCGTGAATTTTGCAATGCATTTTTTAAAAAACGAGAACAAGGTCAAGTGTAACGTAAAAATCAGAGAAAGCCACAGTAGTTATAAGAAGGATATAGTGATTATATACGGTACGATTAAAATCTGTATTGTACGGCATGGTACGGCAATATATTTTACAAATAAAAATTGTGCACTGTATGGTATTATATAATTTATTTTTATAGATCAATACAATCGACATGACAATGACACCTGATTGACAATATATAAATTATATTTCACATCATTCGTAGAACAGCAATTCTAAATGTTAAAAGAAATCATGAATTCATTCGAAATAAGATATGAAAGAAGTGTAAAACTAAGTATTTGAACCTGGCAAATTCATAAAAATTCGCATACCTAAAGATACAGCGAAGATCATTGCCATGCAAAATTCATCAGAAAAAGCCTGACCGCGTTTGTTATAAAGTTGCATGCAAGTTTGGAATCCTTTTTGACAACTGGTACCCAGCGAGTGAACTTGAGTTGTTTGGGACTTTTGATTATCCTTACCTTGATGTGGTTCCCTTGAACAACGCAATTTATTACGGCAAGCCGGATTTAAACAAACCTCTTTTTTACAACATCTCTCCGAAGTTCGGGTTGATGGTCGTCTTTGCTGCATATAATTAGTAAACGATTTTGATTGGCTGTTCTGTGTAAATAAGTTGCAGATTGGCCTACATTATGTAACACATGATATAAATCTGACCAGAATTAGGCGACTTGAAATTAAAACCTCGTTTAACGTTATTTTTTTGGGGAATTTACATATAGGGGCCCGAAAAGTGAAAATAATTACAAATAAGGGCCCAAATTGAAAATAATTAC